CTCTTTCCTCCGGCCAGAGCGAGTCACAGCGATAAGGGTGCGCGCGGTGCATCTTTCGCGCCAACAACTTCGGCCCGATATCGAACACGGTGAAAATTATCGGATGCCAGATAACCCTTTTTACCAGCTAGTTCTTATCGTTTATCGGTTGGTACTTAAAGTGCGATATCCATCCGAGTGCAGTTTACGTATTGTGCGCGACGAGCGGGAAATTTTCATCGGGATCCCGATGGCTCGCGAGAGCGATTAGCGAAATCGACTGTCCGATCGTTTTCACACGCTCGCTCGTCTCTGCGTGTATAAGACACGTTCGTAATCGAGTAGCCCCCCCCCGGTAACCGTTTCGCAACTTTCGCAAGAATCGACGAGACGCGGACCAGAGTGAAACACGGGCGACAAGTGCAACGGATAAACGCGTATCCGACGCATAAATCGACCTTTACGTCGAAAACGATAAATTCCGTGAATCGGAGCGAAGAAAACAAGTGGCGGCGAGAATCTCGGAAGCGGTGCCGCGCCGCGCTCCTCCGCGCTTCGCGCGTCTCTCGGCGCGTCTCACGGCGCGTCTCTCGGTGTCTCTCGGTGTCTCTCGGTGTCCACTCGTTAAACGTACGCTAGCTCGAGTATCGATCGACCAGGGATTATTTTTATCGCGATCCAGTGAATTCCACGAGTTTTCGTCGCGCGCGCGTGCGGACGTTGAGCGGAAAACGAAGACGGGTCACGACAATACCCATCCGAGTCGTTGCTACGTATCGTGGACAGGCTGCTGCGCCACCGTTGAATACCGTTCGAACCTGTGGAATTTTACGCGAACTGGGACGCTCTGTTTTGGCCAGCGATCAGCCAGAACTTCGCAGCTGTGCATACAACCACGAGAACCGGTGAGTATATCGCTGCAACTTTCCTATTGCATCGAACGCGAAGAATACACGCGCGATGAAACGCGACGCGTTTGCGTGGCGTTCGAATAAAACCAGCCAGCCAGCCAGCCATCCATCCATCCATCCATCCAACCATCCATCCGACCATCCATCCAACCAACCAGCCAGCCAGCCAGCCAGCCAGCCAGCCAGCCACCGCACCGGTCGTCGAAACTTCGTCCGTCTCTCGTCAACGACCGGATCTAGCTCTCGACCATGTTCTCGGACGATTTCGCAAAAACGAGTTTAAAGTTTCGCGCGCGACTTTTTTCCCGGTAGCGTGATTCGCGAATTACAAGTAACCAACGTTTGTTCGTTAACGCGGGATATTTACAGCCTTCGCGAAACCACTCCTCCACCTCCTCCTCCTCCTCCTCCTCCTCCTCCTTTCGGAACGGATACTCGACGATTCGCGTTGAAACGGCCAACGATTTCCACGCGTCGCGTTTCGTAAGCCGTTGCTGCATCGGAAAAGTATCTCTGTACAGCAGCATAGGAGGGAGAAAGATAACTCGATGCAGGCCGAAATAAGACGATAACCGGATAAAGCCAGGCGTGCGTCGTCGTCGTCGTCGTCGTCGTTGGTGGATTCGAATTTACGCATCGAGATTCGACAGACGTGGCGGCTCGCGTGTAGCCGTGCTCGCTTATTATCGGAGTAAACGGCGTATTGACTCACCTGACTGTCGCGAGTGTGAGTCAGAGAGACAGAGTTGCAGATTGTCATGCGATGCATCGCGATCGACACTCGAAACGGACGAAACTGCGCTCCACGCTCACGGACGAGTCCATATTTTCGTGGGCGAATGGCCCGGTTCGAGACCATTCAGCCAAGCCTGATTCCGTTCGCGTCTACCGTGTGTACACGTGTGCACGCGCGAGTTGCTATGCATTGGGATAGGTCGTCGTGTTCGCTAGGACAGAGGGCGCTTTGTTCCAAGAGTGCCTCGAGCGCGTAATCACCACGCCGGACCACTCTTCCACGTTCCTGCCATACGCACGTTATGTCTTTTTCTCTCTCGCTCTCTCGCGCTCTCGCGCTCTCTGCTCCACGATTCCGTCCCTCCGAGCGTCGTTCGCCAGACCTATCGGCAATTTTCGCCTATACAACCCGTCACCGTTTCCTCCCGATCGTTACGAATTTTCGAATTTTTCCTGCTTTCCGCGCTACGTCGCACGATCGCGTTATTCCGTTTACAGGATAATTCGGCGATTAGCGGAACGACCGATTACCGGCTACGAGACCGCTGCGGCGAATAATCGAGAGGGTCGCGATTCGTGAATCAGCCGGTAGCGCGCACAATGTACGAATACAGAGAGTGCGCGGGCCATTGAAAGGCAGCGAGGCAAACGAGAGAAGAAGAGGGTAAAACTAAAAAGGATAAAAAGAGGAGGAGGTGAAACGAGAGAGGGAGAGAGGGGAGAGGAGAAGCTCGGTGCAGCCGTATTTTCGGGTGACCGTGGCCCTGCCCTCGGGACTGGATCGTTTGTGTGCCACTCGGTGCATTCTACCCGCGCACAGGGGCGCGCGCGCGCGCACACCAACCATACACGGCGAAGAGTAAAGCCGCGTGCGTGTACGATGCACCAGCGTGCACACCGTCGCATTTATATTTGGCTGGGGGGCGGAGTAGGTTCGGCGGTTTCGAGCTCGAGCGAGCGCGTTCGCGCGTGTGCGTGCGTGAGTGCGTGCGTGCGGGCTGCGTGACCGCGACGCACGCTTCGACACCGAGACGCACACAACGCCGTAGCCCGCGTGCATACGCCGCTTTTTGCATGCGCGTACTCGCAGAGAGAGAGAGAGAGAGAGTGAGCGAGTGAGGGAGAGGAGGAGGGGAGGGTCAGTGGTTTCGTCGGTTTTATTATTCGGCACTGTACGCCAACTTAACCTAGGTCAGTGTGGTAAAAAAGCTACACGCTCAGCGAGTTCGCAGTGCGCGCAGAGCGCGCGAAAGCGAGAAGCAACGATCCTACGGGAGAAAAAGGGAAGGAAACGGCGCGACGCGTGTGCGTGTCCGACGCGCGTGTACGTGTAAACGTACAGTTGCCGGCGTAAGCGCCCTCGTATGCACGCTTGCCACGAATAATCGTGCGCGACACATCCGCTGCCGAACCAGTGCCCGTTCGATGCGACTCGTACTCGCTCGCGCGCCAATTTTTCCTCCTCTCTTTCTTTCTTTTTTCTTTCCTTCCTAGGTACGCGTTGCGCGTACGTACCTACGTACGTACGTACATTCGGTCGGGTTACCTGTTCCTCGAATAGGCCGACGAGTGGATCGCGTGGATCGCGTGGGAAAACGGACGCGCGGCGCGGCGGGGTGAAAATTGGGCGAAACGGAGGAAAGTGTAGGGGGTGCGAAGCAAAGGTGAACGGTCGTACGAGAGTGTGGCAAAGTGCCGAAAGCTCGGCAAGCGCGCCGGTTACTGGTAGAAGGAGTAAAAGCGGGGAAAGATGGAGCGAGAGGGAAAGAAAGCCTGCGGCGGAGGGGAAGGCGTAAGGGGGAGAAAGACGGGAAAAGGGGCGGAAGAGGGAGATGGAAGGACCATGGCATAGGTGGGGTCGGTAGTTTCGCCAGTTAGCTGGGTTTAAAACAGCTGCCAAATTTCCCTCTCGGCCGGGAGAGTGAGAGTGACCCATCGAGAGCGAGTGTGTTCCACATCGTGTTTCGCAGCGATACAAGCCGGCGCAGCCGGCTGCACATGCACACGGACGTGCGCGAGCATACGCGCGCACACGTAGCAGCGGATCTCCACATGCACCGATGCAGGCGGTCGAGCCATTTGTGCGCATCCATGCGCGCGCTCCTACATGCACGTCTGTACGTGTAGACGGAACGCGAGTTGCACCCATCCGTGAGTTCGTCTGCCGTTGCACGTGTGCTCCTATACGTAGCCGTGCAAATGGCGTGCACACGCGCGCGCACACACACACGCACACGCACACGAAAAAGCACGTGGCAAGTTTCGAACGCGTTTACGCGAACATCGACTAACCGAACGACGACGTACGAGGAGTACACACCGAACACGGCCGTACCGCGTACCGTGTATCGGTTCGTCGGTGGTGGATACAACCCGAATACGCGAGCACGGACCACGCTTTGCAGGCGTCTCGGCGTCTGCATGCATATCGCATGCATCCACTACTGCTCAACGGCGACGCCGCCGCCGCCACCGACGACGACGACGACGACGACGACGACCGAGAAGCGTGTGACTCGCCAAGATGGTCAATCTCCTCTACGATCGGTCTTTGCCGTGTTCCCTACGCGTTACCTATCTACCGCGGACGTATCGGGAAACGCGTTCGTATATAGCTTATCGTATAGTCGCGCGTTATACCGATCGAGTATCGCGACGCGACGATATCCTCTTTGCTCGCGTCTTCGATTATTAGGACAAGTAGAGGAAACCCGTGCCGCCTCGGACGACCCAGTGTGGCCGCTTCCTTTCCGGTTCCGACTACTTTCGCGTAGATGGACAATCTCCGATCGGCGATGGGATATGACGAGCCGAGAGATTTATCTTTAGCGGTGCGTTGCCGGCGAGGGTTTAAAAATAACGCTCGCATCGGAGGAACGACGATCCTATCACGGATGAAATTTCTGAGAATTCTAACGAACCAGAGACGAGTAAGGAATTCGCGGAAGGTGAAAAACTCGCGCGATAAAGGGACAAGGGAAGAGGACGCTGCAGGAAATTCTGGCGTAGGAATAATAAGCGACATCCACGGGGAGGAAGGAGACTAATCGCGAGGCGTATACCGGAAAAGTTGAGGTTTCTACGGGTGAAAATACGAGCGACGAACACCGTGGTATTCTCGAACGAAAAGAACCTTCGAATTCCAAGGATATCCTATGATTGCAACGGGCATAAGCCAGAAATCCGAGAATGCGACGTTAAAGCGCGAAAGATACGCGGAGAGAGAAAAATGCCGGACGATATAGTACGTACGCGCGTAAACTATACATCGCTGTATACATAATAGGCGTACACGCGCGAAGGTATAAGCGACTAGGAGATGTCCTCGGTAGGATCGGTGGCGCGAGTGGTGCGAGCGGTGGATAAGCGGCTTGGCACTGGAACCTCGTGGCCGGTCGAAGATTCGTCCGAACGCAAGTAGAGCGGAACGTCGTCGTAGGCCACGCGATACTTTGGGTGCACCTGTCGAAGGATATTCGGGACGGCGCGGTACCCGATGGAAAAGTTGAGAGTCGCTGTGCTCCATGTCTGGATAGATGTGGTAGGGTGTGCGGAGAGGACAAGTCCGAAATGTGCGGGCACTGTCAGTTTCTGGGACTAGAGCAACAAGTAGTAACCGCGTTTATATCGACGCCGTTGGCTACGTAGTGGATGCACGGTAGGTATTAGTATATATGTAGGTGCATATATAACGTAACCGAATATATAGGTCGGCTGCAACGCGGCGGCAGCTGACGCAGCAGCGGAGCCGGTTTAAAGCGCAGTCGGTTACCCCCAAAATTTTCCAAGTCGGACAAAGTGGGGGTAGTCCGTTGACTAGCGGCAAGCCACCTCCGAAATACATGGAACCTGCCATGTACCGCCCCCGTTCTCTTATATACCCAGCTCTACATACTATGCACAGTCGATCGTCCAATGTCGCGCAGCAACAGTTTGCCAACGGCACGCGCGAAAAAGCTGGCGAAAATTTTTACCCCGCGCCGAATTCGCTGGTTCCCGCGCGTAGAAATTACGGGCGCATCGCGCCGCACCTAGCCGGGCTCGCGTGTTTTCATTATCGCACGGTTCGTCGTTCCCCGTTTCGCCTGCGTACACGCGTGCCGGATTATCGCGGATAAATCGATTAAATATCGGTCGACGTTCGCAAACCGCATCGATTCGCCGTATCGAAAATATTCGAGGAAATTATCATTGGGTCGATTAGCATACAGGCGCGATTACAATAGAGACAGAGAGAATTACACGAGCGGACGTAACTA